ATAGGGGAAGAACAGGTTAGGGATCACTTAGAGAGGCTAGATGCTTTTCAGTTGGCAGAGTTGGATGGGATATACCCAAAGGTACTGAAAGCATTGGCTGGGGTAATTTCAGAACAAGTGAGTATCATCACTGAGAATTTATGGAGGTCAGGTGAGGTCCTGGAAAAAGGCAAATACAGTGTTCATCTTTAAGAAAAGGAAGAAGGAGGATTTGGGGAATTATAGACTAGTTAGCCATACCTGGAAAGATCATGGAGCAGGTCCTGAAGAAGTCTATTGTAAAGAACAAGGCGATCTGGAACAGCCAGCAAGGGTTCAGCAAGAGCAAGTCATGCCTGACCAACCTAATTTTCTTCTGTGATAGGGTGACAGGTTCTATAGATGGAGGGAGAGCAGTGGATGTGATACCTGGGATTTAGCAAAATTTTTTACACTGTCTTTCACAACATCCTCATTAACAAATTAAAGAAATACAGACTAGAGGAAAGTACTGAAAGGTGAATAGGTAACTGTTTGGATTATCATGCTCAGTAAGTAGTCATCTATGGCTTTAGTTCAGAGTAGGTATCAAATGGGATTTTCCAGGGGTCTGTCCTGGATCCAGTATTGTTTAACAACTTCATTAATTATTTGGACAATGGGATTGAGGGAGTTTCAGACACTCTGGAAAGTAGGGCTAGGATTTAGAATGACCTTGCTAGACTGGAGAAATAGTCTGCAATCAATCAGATGAAATTCAACAAGGAGAAGTGCAAAGTTCTTCATTTCAGACAGAATAATTGCATGCACAAATACAGACTGGGGAATGACTGGATAAGCTGCAGAACTGCAAAGAAGAACCTGGGGTTATAAGTAGACAATAAGCTGAATATAACTCAATGGCATGCTCCTGTTGCAAAAAAAAAATTAAAATAAAGCCAACAGCATGCTGGGTTGTATTGACAGAAGGGTCATGTGCACTGGCAGGAGAGTCACTTGCAAATCAAGGGAATTGATTATTTCACTCAATTCAGCACTTACGAGGCCTCACCTGGAGTACTTGCCCAGTTTAGGGCCTCTCACTTCAAGAAAGATGTGGACAGAGTGAAAAGATTCCAGAAGTGAGCAACACAAAATATTAGAGGCCTGGGTAGCATGACTTAGGGGAAGAGACTGAAAGAACTAGAGTCTAGAGAAGAGAACAGTGAGAGAGGATGTAATAACAGTTTTCTGAAGGGCAAATATAGAGAGGATGGAGATAAACTATTTTCTGCAGTCATAGAGAACAGGAGGAGGAGCAATGGCTTCAAGTTGCAGTAAACAAAATTTAGGTTTGAGATTAGAACGAACTTTCTGACTTGGAAAGTGGTCAAGCATTGGAACAGGCCACCTCAAGACATTGTAGACTCTCTATCCCAAGAGCAAGTAAGACAGACACTTGACTTGGATGGATTTGTCAGAGATGATCCTGCCCAGGGGGATAGACTATATGAGCTTATGATCCCTTACAGCCCTACCTTCCTAATATTCTATGATCCTATGTCCATAGGGCAGGCTGAAAGTAAAATGGCACTTCAAAACCCATTTGGATGCCAATAGATGACAAATACCATCTATATGATTGTGGCCTGCCACTCCTTGCACAATGGCTGCAAGGATAAAGGCAAGTGTCTTGTGCTGGAGTGGACCCTAGGTATGGGTGGTTTGCTGAGGTAGTTCATATAACCAGGAAATGCAGCCATCAACATGGCACTGGCTCAAGGAAGATAAATGTACTAGAGATGCCATATGTGCCCACATCCTGGCCATGCAGGCTGATAATGGGGACTACGAAGAGGAGGATACAGTAATTTTTTAGTAGTAAATTATATTTGAGGAATTTTCTCTTGGTATTGGCTACAGGCTATTATCTTGATTTCTTCTGTTTGGCTTGGCCTCAGGAAGAGTCAAAATTGTATTTTCCAAGTAATTTTTTCTTTTCTGTTACATTAGTAAAAGCTGTTTTGCAAAAAATGTAGGTATTTGTTTCTCTGTAAGTTCCTTGAGAAGAGCTAGTGCTCTACAAAAAAAATAAAGTGTTTTTTTTTTTATCAAGCAAGGGTATCTCAGGGGACTCAAAGAAGCGGTGAAGGTAGAACAGCTGCCTGATGACATTTACCAAGTGTACCATAGTGTAAGTATAGCAGGTAAGCCTGAATTAATTACACTGCAGTGCAACAGAGAATGCACAGAAGGAAGAAAGAACCCCCCCAGTGCCTTCCCCTTTACCCCTCCCCCAAAACCCTTCTGCAAGCAAAGGAGCCTGTATTTGTTGCTGCAGTGCTCCTCGTGATCCTTCCCTCAGCACTTTGTCTAATATGTATTGTGTGAGGCTGTAGAAGAATAGAGTACGTGGGCCTTATTTGTCTGATACCTCTTCCCCCATATTGCCTAGTGTACTCCATGTATTTCCATACCCTGCCCAGACTGCAGGGTTTGATGCATTCTGAAGAGGCAGTGTGCCCTTGCTCTTGTACTAGCATTTGCACAAGGCCACAGCCATGCCTATATGTGCTAAGAGCTAGCAGTATGACCACAACTTATAACTGCAAGCCTTGAGCTCTGTTCAGCACAGGGATGCTTCCCAGGTCAACAGCTATCCAATGGGTGGTGGAGGAGGCAGTAAGGTTATTTGAGGGAAGCATCTGCTACACCTTCCTAAGGGCTGATGCAGTGGATATACTCCTGCTGGCATGGTGCAGCTGTGCATAGCTCCCTGCTTAGGGATGTCCTTAAAAGGCACAAGGTGGCAATAAATAAAACCCTGTTTTGTGCTGGTGCACACTGCTGCACCTTATTCCAGCTACCTCATAGCAAATTACACCTTTTGGAATCCTTTGCCCTGATCACACTCCTTTACTATCAAGGACCTCTCTAAATTTGGCCTTTGGCAGTGGAATCCAGCAAAAGATGCCTTGGCTGCTAAAGGAAATGTATTTTCACTGCAAATATGTGTTTGAGTACTTTTTAAAAAGTATTTTTAATCCAAAATGAAACACAGCCCCCATCCCCCTTTCCCAGCTCTCCTGAATATTACACACCATGCTGTGCATTTGCTACTTTGAAAAACAACAAAGGCAGCAAAGGAGGCAATGAAGGAAAGTGTTATTTTAGAATCTGAGGAGGGAACTTTAGAGCAATGGTAGCAATATATGGTGGAACTGCCCGCTAAATGTTAACTCCAACTCTGCTGGACAACCAACAGTAGGCCTGAAAAGATAAGAGAAAAGCAGAGCAAAAGAGATCAATACAGGAAGGAAAGAACAGCCTTCACTTTTAGGGCTATGGAAGGAAAAGGTGTTCACTTCCTCTCTGATTTGAATTTGGAGGCAAATATTAAGAAAAATCAAAGGCTGGTGCTGGGCACTCTAAATACTTCTTGAAGTGGGCGTTGGGGCTGCTTGATGCTCCAATGGATCTGGCTCCAAGTATCTGAGAGAGAGTGGGTGCACAAGACATGAATGGCTTGGCAAGAAGCTGATGAGAGATTTACGCTGTGTGTCAATGTAATATGTGCCTAGCAAAGAGGATCCCATGCCTTCCTCTTCCAGTAGCATCATTCAGCAAGAGCAAATTGATGTCCCCCATTGCACTAGAGTGCTTGGCCCCTCAGCAGAGATGAAAGTGCTTTCACAGCTCTTCTGTAAGTCTTATGGGAATATGTTTTTTAGGACAGCTGGAGAATGAATAAATGCAGTAAGCTTATTCAAGGAAGTGAGAAACTTAACTGCAAAACAGCTTAAACAATGCCACAACTAAATTCAATGTTTACTCAGAAGACATGCACTACATGTGTGAATGCAAGTTAGCTGCACACATGTGCTCGCTCAGATTCAGCCCATAAAATACCTATGGCCCGTAACAGTAACTCTGTAATCTGAGCATCAAGTAAGTGCTCAAAAGCAATGCCGAATGTTCTCACTCACAGAGGGAAATGTCATTGAATGCATTCCTGTATCAAGCATGGGTGCAGAGTATCTTAGATTTGAAAATCTAGCTGTAAACTGACACTGTACTTGATAAATGATGCATCTGGCTGATCTCGATAACTAAATAAGTCTTTCTTATCTATAACTTCTCCGCACATCACCTGCCAAGCAGATACTCATTGCCTCTGTGTAAATGATTACACAAGGTACTGGGCAATGGATAGTCAAGCCCACTATGTTTCTTTACATGGCATAAGCCATCATTGATAGGTACCATGCAGGTAGGTGCCTTATGAATTCCACTAAGAGTAGGCCAAGTCCAGAGGTGATAGGTTCTTTTCCCAGGTTACCTGCTGGGACCAAAAAGATATTTTACTTCACTAGGTACTGTAGGATCAGAGCACCTTGTAATCTTTAAGGCATCTATTTTTTACAGGGTCTCTGTGAAGTAAAGATGCACTGTCATCTGTGTTACACAGATGAGGAACTGAGACAAAAAAGACTAAGGGCCAGATCCAAAGAAAGACTTATGTCTCTGCAGTGGGATTTGGTTGATATCACATACCTAAGTAATAAATGATGACCAATAGATCTCTTGCCAATGGTTGCCTAACACCGGCCTATGCCACAAGACTCCTTCCTGTTTGACCAGCAAGTTGCCCAGGTCCCTGCACTTCTTCTGTACATTCCCAGAAATGCTCTGGTCTGAGCAGCTGTACACCTAGCTCCTGCCCTAGGCTCATTTAGATACAGAGGAGCCCAACTTGGAGGCCTGCCTAATACACATCACCACCATTAATTCAGCACGGAATGCAATAGCTCTGGCCAGCTTCAACAGGAATGGATGCATGGGGTCCCCACCAAGCTTAACATGTAGCTTGGTGGTTTGGACAATCTTCTGTAGGAGCTATGGGTTTGAATAACTTCAGGCTGAATAAGGCTTAGAAACCAAGTGTCCTGCAAGCTGTTTCCCTGTTCAGCATGTGGATTTTCAGAACTTCTGAGGTACCTAAATGTCCTGATGGGGAACTGGTATGAGGAACCAAGGTAACTCTGAGCTATGGATTCCAGGTGTCTTAAATATAGGCAGTATGCTGATAAAGCCCTTCTTTTGATCTGGCCCCAAGTGATTTGCCAAAGGTCTCCCAGGAATGTCCAAGACTGGGAAAGGATTGAACCTGAGCTTCCCAAGCCCCGGCTACTGCCCTAGTCACTGGACCTTTCCAAACCTAAGAGTTTATATCAGTGATAAAAAACAGGTCATGGAAAGATAAGTGACAGTTCAGACACTTAATGGCAGACAGAATGAGGTATGTTGTGGCAACAGTACAATTATGATATCAGCAGAGTATGGAATCGCATGACATCATTATGGTTGTTTGGAGAATGAATTTGATTTGGGTTTGAATAGCATGCATCTCTCTGATTTGAACAGGGGCAGCTGGTGTTGAGTTATCTGCATAGGGGACTTGCACAGAGTAGGCTACTACGTGTGACACCAATGTCTACCTTATTGTCCTCCTCTACTCTTGTACCCGAGCCAGCTATGGTATTCAATTTTCTTTATCATCTTCATCTTCTGTCATTGGGTTCAGGTAGTAACATATTTCAGGAGAGTTAGGAAAACACCTATGCTACCTATGTACTGGTAAATCCTCTTTTTAAGGTTATTGCTACCTTGGGCTCATGCTTCCTTTATAAAATGTCTAAATAAAAAGCGGGTTCTTATAGGAGGCAGATGGAACTGTCTCAGTTCAAATGCTAGTGCCATTCAGCTGAAAGGATGTTATTGATCAATGATTAGTGACAGACGGTGCCTTTGCCATCTCAGTTTGTCTATGTTAAGCAAAATGAGAAGATGTGCTATTCTAGGGTTGTAGGGTCAGTTGGGGTATACCCCCAGCAAATAAGAACTATCCTTCCCCGAGCTGAATAAAGCACACTTGCTAATCTATGCCCTCTGAAAGTGCAGCATATCACCCTCTCAGACCCTAGCTAGCTGTCCTGGTCACAAGTAGAGCAGGATGGGAGTCATATTTTCTACCTCATCTCTTCAGGTTATCTGGGTCTGATTTTCAAAGCTATTTAGGGAGCTAGGCATCTAGTAGGATTTTCAGTAGTGCCTTTTTGATTTCCATGGGAGTTAGACACCCACGTGCTTTTGAAAATCTGTCTGCATGTGGAGGTAACTAATCAATTGGAAATCAGTCACTTGGACACTTATGACTCATTTAATTCAGTCCCTGGAGCAGGGAGCTGGACCCAATGATCATTTGAGGTCCCTTTCAGCCCTAATGTCTATGAAATCTAAATCTATGCTTTTCACCAGTCTTTGCAGGACAGTGATGGAGATACTTTGACATCATCAGATGTCTCCCACTTTGAGACAGAATCTCTGCAAATTAAGGACCAGGAAACCCAAGCTGATGTGGAGCAGCTCAGTAATCTGGAGAGCTCAGAGTATTCCTCCCAAGTAGCGGGGGCAGAGTTAAGAGAAATGCAGACAGGCTTTGAACTTACTGTGCAGATATCCCCACTCAAAGACAACAAGAAGCAGCAAGAGCATGTGACGATGGTAAGTGGAAATTAACACTGAATTAAAGGTAAGGGCATCAAGGGAGAATTGTAGGCCAGCCAAGGGGCTCAGTTTTCAGAGGAAAATGGGGGTGTGAGATGCACACAATTATATCTCCCATAAGGTACCACAGCAACGCTGATGGTTACAAGTTAACATCTGATCTGAAATGAAATACTGCTTTTTGGTTCAGTGAACTATATGTTTTGATGTGGGTCAGCTGGATCCTAAAGGAAACACTTTGTTTCAGTTTTCCTGAGGGAAAGCTGCAGAAAATGTTCATTTCATAGAAATCCCATTTTCTGTCAAAAAAAAAAAAAATCAAAAAATTCCTGAACAGTTCAAAGAAAGACCTTCTCAACTTGCTGGTAGGTGTTGCAAAACTAATGAGTCAGTATTTTAGTGTTTCATTACCCCAATTTTTTAGCTCTATCAAAACCTATCAAGGCCTGATTAGGGCTCTTCTATCAACATAATCTCAATTTATACTTTCTCCGATCTGTGTCAGGATCTCCCCAGATATAACCCAGCATTGTCACATATACTAGATGATGTGACAAAGAGCCTGGATGGTAAGAGCCATGCAGTACATTTGGAGCCCAGGGCAAAGAGAGAAGGTGATACTTTGCAGCCAGAAGCATTCAGCAGTGAGGATGAGATGAACAATCTGGAGGAGCTGGAACAGCCGTGCACGGGGCAGGTCACGGCAGTTGATCTTGATTTGGAGAAGATCAGGTGGAACTCTGCAATGACCAGGCTGAAGTACGAATATGAAGATAATGAAAAGCAAAGGCAGCATGAGGAGAAAATGGAGCAGATACAGCAGCAGACAGCACAGAGATCAGTAAGCTGGGATGGAAAATGGGTTTGGGTATAACAGAGGGGGAAACAGGCAACAAACATTTAATGTTCCTATTTCCATACTTCCATAAGCCCTCTTTTCTTTGATTTTGCAAGAACACACTTATCTGTTTTTAAATTAGACATGAGATTAGCCACACTGCTCACACCACTGTTCATAGAAGAGCTGTTTCCCATTTAAGCACAAGGATAGCAATCACTGCAGTAAAACCAAAACTCAAGAATGAAGTTTATAGGGTAGAGTTATCCAGAGGATTATTTTCTAAATGATGATTATACCCATGTAACAGATCTTATGGATGGCTTGAATGGTTATTTGCCTCTACAACAGAGTTGGTCAAAGAGGTTATAGTGCTGGAATGGCTTCTGCTAAATTTCCTGAATTGCACATCATAAATATATCAGAGCCAAGAGCTGTGAAAAAAATGTTCCAGAGGATAAGCTACATCCCTTGCTAATTAGCTTTGTTGAAGTCCAAATATTTGTAATATTTGATTCATTGCTATTATATGTCTAGTCTGAAAAAGGCCAGTAGGGTTAGCAGATGTGTCATTTTCAGACATCAGATGAGTGAGTTCTTCATCACTCTTGCTTTCTTGGGCTTGATTCTTCTCTTACCTTGAATATTTTTATCCCTGATGCATGTAAGAGAAAAATCAGTGCCTGGATATGGGAAGAGGCACATGTATCCTTAGCTTTTCTTGTAGGCCTGGTATGGTGGGTTAGCACAAAGTAGATAGGCATATGTTTCATATTGTTTTATATTGTTATTTATGTATACTGCAGTAGCTTTTAGGAGCCTCTGTTGTGGATCAGGGCTGCATTATGCTAAGTGCTATACAAAGAAGGAGGTGTTAGTGTTGCCTATAGCACCCTTAGTTTAGAAATAAGTCATCTGGGTTAGATGGTATTTCACTTACACTGGTGGTAGGTAGCAGTGTAACACCAGTGAAACCAATGGAGTGAGACCAGTGTAAAAGAGATCAGAATCAGTCCCAGTGTAGATTTGGATAAGTGACTGGAGTTCCTCTGAGCTTGATCAAAAAAAGGCCCACTGCCAACTGCTTTATTAATTTACAGCCTAACAACTCCATCGGTTGGGCTGCATAACAGACCGTCGGAGATGAATGAGGCTCTCCAGAGAGATGAACTAATGCAAACTCAGACCTCCCTGGTGGCCAGATTTTACAAATGGAGGACTAGGTGCATGGTGGATCTAGGATTTTGAAAAAGGGGTTACAGATGGTTCAGTACTTCATCACATATAACAACATATTTATCTCCAGTTAAAGAGAAACTAGCTTTACTAATAATCTGGGAGCACTATTGCAAGGTGCATTGATTTGCTATATCATATATTAAATTAAAAAAATCCCACAAACTAAGGAAAAAAGAGTCAAAATATTCAAAATGATATTGTGTCATTAGCCCCATATTCATTATAGTTAAAAGTATGTTTCTTATTCAGATTCATAAAACAAAATCTAGCCTCCTTGAGGGTCCTGACAGTACCTTCAGTACTTCACTGTCAGTCATTTCAACACCTTGAGTTAATATTATCACATGAATTAAGGTTTTTAGCTACAGCTACAAACAGCCTGCAGGCCTATGAAATCGAAGAGAGGCATTACCAGGAATGGCTAACAGTCAGCAAAACAGCAGAAGAAAGGCAGTCCAAATAGTGAAATATCAAGACCATTAAAAAGGACAGAGGGCCGTTAGCACCTGTGCAATGGAGACAGAGTAGCAGGGATCAGAGAGATGATAATAAGCCACAGAGTCAACTGATTGTCTCAGCATTGCCTGAACAGAAATGTCACTGGTCCTCCCAGGCATTTAGTTTAAAAGTTTTGGTGGAGCAGGAAACAAAACTGGGTGCGGCTGCACCTCTACACACCTCCTGGATCTGCCTCTGATGAAGTGTACCGAGTAGAGGCATATGAATGGAGGGTAGGTGAACATGTAGGTGATTACGTATCTCTTTCTTTTCCACAGTTTATTCAAGGACTCCATGACCTACCCCGGCTGCAGAACCAGCATGCCTTGTTTTTATACTGCTTCATCTTTATACATGTCATTTACACAGTGAGGGAGCTGGCTTTCTATTTCATTATGAGGCATTACAGCTTCTGCTTTGCCATTGTGCTCTATTTCTTTTTCAAGAAGATTTTTCTGGATTACGTAAATAAGAAAAAATGTTCCTAAAGCAACAGCACATTCTCTACAGCTAAAGATGCTGATCTATCCCCATTTCTTTTTACTTTTTTTGCTTTGCAGCTCCGCTGTTCTTTCCTAACTACACTGAGTATTTCCACTATTGTTATATGAAAAAGGATGTAACTTGTGCAAGTGTAACCTATTCTCTTTCAAAAGTTGTTGCTGAATATCATACATTCCTTGCTCTCTTGTTAACATATTCAGCGTGATTCTGTCACATTCACCAATACTAATAAAATTATGTGTGATAAGAAAGCCATTTTGAATGTATCTTTCTGTTTATGCTTAGTTTCTTGGACATAGCTGCAAACCTTATATGTGCAAGGCTGTATGGATGGGGAACTACATGGCAACTTACTTTTGGTGTTTTGTTTTCAAGAGGATTCATTTGTTCCTGTCTACAGTATGCCACAGTCTTGAGTTTCATGCTCTTTTGAGAATGGGATAGGACATTTTCACTAACAAAAACTGTCATTCTCCTTGCAGTTGAGGTCTTATGAATGCTGAGGTCCCAGTACTAATAAGAAGGGTTTTAGGATATAATTCTAATAGAAAGGTCAGACACATCGAATCCACACAGAATATGGCTATGTCCCTTTCCCACTGCATCTGTCATATAGCATTTTTGCTATGTGCCTGGAAAAGGTAGAAGCTATATGCCATATAGAATATTAGCAATGAGCAAATAAAATCTCATTAGCACTTTATGTTAGAATTAGAGCATAAATCACCCACATGATTAGAATTAGAGCATAAATCACCTAGCCATATTGTAGTTATTATTCGGTGTCCTTGTTCTTCTCCCAGGTTACATTGTATACCTAATATGGAAACTAGGAGTGCCTGGGTTTCTCAAAGATGGTGTTCAAAAAACTGCCTGACTCGAAGGTTTAGCACAGTGATTGTCAACCAGAGTTTATGAGATGCTTATAAGGGTGCTGTAAGATGCCGCATAATATTAGCACTGGTAGGTGTGCAAATACCTATGCATAATTCACAAGACAAACCCAGAGATTTCAAATAGGAATCTATAGTGTCAAAAACAGTCTGACTTGGTGTGGTCTTCCTGAGTTCTTCACAGCAGAAGAATTATTTTATTATTTTTTCATAGTAAAAAATGAATGAAAGGTAAAAGCTGGCATTTTTTGAGGCATGCCTTGAGTCTTAAAAGGTTGAGAACCACTGGTCTAGCAATGATATGGGTATAATTTCACCTTACTTCAAATGTGTTTCTGATACGCTCTGTCCTGGTTAGGATGATATTCTGTGCACATTCAAATGGCAGAGTGCTTACAGAGACCATGACAGCTAGGGGAAGATTCTTTGCATCAGGGTCATAGATACAAAAGTATCTCAGAGCCATGTCTAGATATCAGGTAGTTTGCTCGTCAAATGCAGCATAAGTGGAGTTTGCCAAAGTCATCCTACAGCTAGATCCACATTTCCTATATTTTAGAAATAGTGTAAGATCAGAAGAGTATCCAAAAGGTTGTCTATTCACAGAAAACCTTATGATCTGTGGCATAATATTCCTGAAAAGAAGCTCAACAGGGCAGGTACACTGAGGTTGTGTGGTATAGATACAACCTACACATGGGTGTTTGTGTACATGGGCTAAATAAAGCAAAATTTTGTTTACAATTAAGAGTTTCACTTCTCCCAAGGTAAATGACTGTCAACTCATGCCGACTCCAGTAGAGTGACCTGTGCATGCTCACTGTGTATACTTTATGGTTCCTCTCAAATGTAGCAATTACTGATGTCTGAACTACATGGGCAAATGTTTGGAATACTTACTAGAATGGGGAAGGTGCTGCTTAAGATACCTCCTCCACTGAATGGATTCTGCATTGGCCAGGAGGAACCAGTTTTAGTCCAATACATGCTCAGTTTATCCAACTGGAATTTTATTACATTTCATGCAGGTGGGGTATCACACATGAACAATCCAGCCAACTGGTGAGCCTTGTGGACCAAGGCTGGCATTTCTATCAGTGTCAATATAGAGACACTGCGTGAAGTGTACCTGGAGACCTGTGTATATAGGTGTATCTGTCATAGTTAGAAGCTGATGGGAATAGATTGTTAAGACTGACAGTGGGATCTGAATGGCTGATAAAGATTATACTCTCCCAGTAAGATGTGAATTATAAGGCTCATATTTATTCACACAAACATGAATATAAAGCTTTAATGACCCCACTCTACTACTTAGGAGTGCCCATGGCTAAAAGTGTAATGGACCCAAAGGGGAAAAGATGGGATTTTCGGTGCTATTGAAAGATTATCTACAGATATACGCTTCTTATGACCCAGGACACTGAGAGGACAGGTAACACATGAGTCAAAGGTCCATGTGAGGTGTTGTAGCCTCAGGGAGTGTTTGATCATGGCATCATGATGACATCAATGAGATGCTTTACATAATCAGTTTAGTTGTGATTAAGGTTTGAACTGGTCGTTGGTAGCAGTGTGGGATCCTTGTGAAACTGAGGCTTCTGTCTGAGAAGCCAGTGTCACTGGTTTTGTTCCTTTCTCGTTGTCCCCAGTCCATGCCTAAATCTTGTGTGCTAAGAATTACACTAATGCTCTATTTTTCAGGCTTTCAGGCTTCCTCTGTAATCTGACTGAGAGCAAGAAGCCTCCCTTTTCTGTGTTAAGAATTTTGGGTCACATTCCTCACTCACTGAAGTAATTGGAAATGTCCCCCTGACAGCAGAGAGCAGAAATTAAGTCTTCGTTTTGACTAAATCTGAATGTGCTTCCCAAAGATAACTTGCTTATAAACAGGGCACGTGATGGGATAAGCACTTCATGTAATTTGTCTTTAAGCCACTGTTCAGCAGCCCTTGGGTTTCAGTCATCTGGCGAGTCCCTATCAATCTGTGGTTCATAGTTATTCAAAACAGTGACTACAACTGAGCACAAGTGGAAATACCCTATGGTGCATGGGCTCAAGCACTTTTTTTAAAACCCCCAACTCTGTGGGTAAATTTTCTATTTATTTAATGGATCTTCACATTCTCTTTACTTTGTGCACAATGACTTAATTTTCCTGGGGAAAGAAGCATTTTGCACTGTTGTGTTTATGATTTGTACTTGGCATGGAACCTGTAGCCTGTCTTGGACTGAAGCACAATAAACTGCTCTGGGGCCTGAAGCATATAGGGTCTTTCCCTCTTCTCAAAGAGGATGCCAGGGGCTACATCAGCCTGAAAAGCATGTACACCCTTAAGCACAATGCCTTCAACCATGTATAGCCTGATAGAATCTCTGTACAAATATAAATGTCCCAGCTGAATGTGGGTCACAATGGTGGTGTTATTTAGCAATGAAAGCAGAAGGGGCTGGGGTAGGTAGCATTGAGCTGTAGTGTTTGTGACCAGGAACATCAAGAACATGATCATGTAATATCCCTGACCATTCTTCCTCCCATGGTTTAAAGAAGAGCTCCAGTGCCTTAGCTAGTTCATCATCAATTTGCATTGTTCTTCTCTGACCTCATCTTCATGCATATTATCAAGTTTCTCTTTCAGTAGGTGGTATCATTACTTACTTTGTTCAAACACGCTGGTGCTGTTTGCATCCCCTGAGTTTGTCTTTGTTTATTGCCATTTTGGGCACACATAGGAAGCCAGTCCTCTGAACACTTGTGTAATTTAAACCCAAAAGCCAAATGACTGGCTGAGGAGTACGAGGGGTTTTGGATGATATGTTATGTGCATACATAATCATACTGCTTTCAAATATAATATGTCCTTGTATTTATGATGCGCTCAAACATTTTGACTCTCAATTTAAGAAAAAATAAAGCACCAATTAGTGATATATTTACAAGAATATTGCCACTATATTGCACATGTAAGAGCTTCACAGCACTTGTAAGAGCTTTATCCTTTTTTTAAATTTAAGAGACAGGCTGGAGGAAATATTTGCTTTTCTAGTGTCTTACATTTAAAGGAGCACAATATTGATTCTTGCTAGGATGCTATACTCTGTGTTCTTGCCTGGACTGAGCCTAGTTAAGGAGACCCCTTTTCTCCATGTCAACTAAAATAAGGCAGCCAGTGCTTAGCCCAAAGGCATATGTGCTCCCCAGATCTATGCTATGCCATAAGCATTTGATAAGCTCAGACTCCATGCTACCTAGGGCTGTGCGAGGCTTCGGACCGTGCTTCGGATCCAGAGGAGATTCAAACACTTTGGAGGCTGAAGCAGCATGTCCGGATTGAAGCACTGGCTTCTTTAGGCTTTCTGAAGTGGTTCAAAGCTTCCGAACCGATTCGGAAAAGCTTCAGAGTCGCTTCAGAGATCCAGCCATAGGGTATAATGGGGAATCAATAAAATATCTATAAC